ATCCTGCTAGTTCAAAGTTTACTCCTTTCTCAACATTAAACCAGGTTTCAGATATGGCTATGATGTTAAAGGGTTGTGACAAATGTTTGAGATACTCATTGATTTCATTGAAATTAGCATACATACTTCTGCTATTGAAGTGTATTATTGAAAGCTTGTTGGATATATCTGGAAAATTGTTAAGTTCACCTGAAGTGTAATATTTACAGTTCACATTTAGATTAGAAAATAACATATTATCTGGGTCTATTTCATTTTCATTCGTTCTCTGTGCTCAGTATAGTTTACATTTATGTTACATTGGTCATACATTTCACACCTCTGTTGTAGATTAGTCATTTTGTTTGAAGATAGTGATGTTTTGTAACAGTGCCTGCTACCTTTGGTCCATGATGGTTCACGAAGATGAAGGTGCAGAAGAGTCATCAGTGAATCTGTCCAGTTCATTTAGATTTCGAACAACCAAAACCCTCGCCTCCTCTGGCGGCCCGTTTAGCTTAATAAAGATCTTGCAATTATTAGTCCATGTACCTTGGATTTTGTTCTGCTTCTTTAGAAACCATGCTTTCCTTGCTATCTCCGCGTTTTTCCGGGTCAGGTGATCATTCATATATACATTCGTTCCTCTCAGCTTCTTTCCTTGTTTCAACAGCGCTATCTTGACTTTTCTGTTCGCAAACCTCGAAATCACCGCTGGTATATCCTCCTTTCTCCTCCTGGGAAGAGGGTGACATGCCTCGATGGAATCCACGTTCAGGGCAATGCCCTTTGACTGGAGAAAGGCCGCTACCTGGTCCTCAGTGGAACTCACGTCTTCCTCGCTTGGCTCTTGTCCATGACCAGCGGCCGCTGCCCTTGCATACGTCCGCGGTCTGATCTTTAGTCCCGTCACTATCACATCATTGATCCTTGTGTATTGCTCCAATTCGTCCACTCTCTTTTCCAGTTCCTCGATCCTCTTGTCCTTCTCAGCGTTTTCGAGACGCAGCTGCTTGACTTCCTCTGTAAGCGCAAGAATCTTTCTCTGGTCGTCTCTGATCGCTGCGACATCTGCCGCTAAGAACTCAAGTGACTTTTTAAGATCCTCGGCTTCATCCACTGGCGGGGATGCTGCCTGTACTTTCTTTGGCGGCATTTTGTTTGCAAATGTACATTATAGTGTACAATTCTATTAGAACAACTTTGTTTTTGCACCAGTTTTTTATGAAGCTAATGTAAAAGTTCAGACAGGAAACTGGTGACCTCTGTTCTCCTGCGGCACCATCCCAGCCGCCCTCACTCAATATACTTCAATATACATGTGGACGACAGCACTGACAGCTTAAACAAAGCTTTCAGCGCCGTACTAGATGGTGTTGGTTTTACTCAGAATGTTGAGGAACCTACTCACATTCATAACCACACCTTGGACCTTGTCCTGACCTACGGCTGTGATGTCTCCAATGTTGACATCCAGCGTCAAAGCTCGTTGCTGTCTGACCATTTCTTGATCACGTTTGATCTCGATTTGGAGGACTTTCCTGCGCCGCAAGTTAAACCATAATGAAAAGAACCTTAAATGATAAATCTATCACAAGGTTCAAAGAACTAATACAGCCTATGTTGAATACTGCTGCAGGTGAACCTGTTCACAGCTGCTGCAGTCCCTCAGTCATTGACCAAACGGTGGACAACACTATGGAGTCTTTCAAATCTGCATTAAATGCAGCAGCTCCTTTAAAACAGAAAACTATTAGGATTAGATCATCGTCGCCCTGGTACAGTGTTCAACTCCACACTTTAAAACAGGACGTCAGAAAATTGGAGAGGCTATATCGCCACTCCCACTCGGAGCCTGTCCACAGGGAGTGGAAAGCAGGTCTCCGAAACTACAAGAATGCCCTTCGCGGGGCTCGAACTCAATACTATCCAACTTTAATAGAAGCCAATAAAAATAACAGTAGATTTTTGTTTAGCACCGTCGCTAAACTCACAAACTGCCATAGCGCAATTGAGCCTAAAATTCCAAGCTCACTGAGCAGTGTCGACTTTCTCCATTTCTTTAATAATAAAATGACATCCATCCGTGACAAACTGGAGGAGGTTACTCCTTCTGTTGGTAGTGGACAGGCTGAAGCGGCATACGTGACTTCCCACTTAGACTCTTCAGTGGGCCTCGATAAATTCATGGCTGTGAGCCAAGCAGAGGTGATCTCTGTGGTCACATCCTCAAAAGCCTCAACTTGCATGTTAGACACAATCCCGACTTGGCTCTTCAAAGACATACTTCCTTTGATAATTGAGCCTATCGTAAATAAATAATTAAAAAAAATAATAAACGCATCCATACAATGTGGCTATGTCCCACAAGCTTTTAAAACCGCGGTAATCAAACCCCTTCTGAAGAAAACAAACCTGGACCCAGAAATACTTACAAACTACAGACCGATCTCAAACCTCACTTTCATATCTAAAATCCTGGAAAAACTTATAGCTGAGCAGCTTTGCTGCCACCTGCAGGAAAATAATATGTTTGAAGTAGTGCTGTCCAACGATTAAAATATTTAATCGCGATTAATCGCATGAATTTCATAGTTAACTCGCGATTAATCGCAAATTAGTCACATTTGCGTGCTGTGTGCAATTGCTTGTCCTACTGGACCTTAGTGCTGCATTTGACACAATAGACCACAGCATTCTACTGCAGAGGCTAGAATGTGATATAGGTCTGAGAGGAACAGCCCTTGGCTGGTTTAAATCCTATTTATCAGATCGGTATGACTTCGTCAACGTAAATCAGAACTCGTCGCCTTATTCTGGAGTAGAATTCGGTGTGCCGCCCGGTTCGGTACTCGGACCGATTCTTTTCACTCTCTACATGCTGCCGTTAGGAAACATTATTAAAAAGCATGGAATTAATTTCCACTGCTGCAGATGACACACAGCTTTATCTGTCGATGAAGCCAAATCAGACAGATCAGCTAGAAAAGCTCAGTGCTGCATAAAGGACCTTAAAACGTGGATGACTCTTAACTACCTACTTCTCAACCCGGAGAAGACAGAAGTGATCCTACTCGGTCCGAAGCGCCTGCGTGACTCCCTCACTAACCAGATAATCACTCTGATAATGTCAGTATTATACCCAGTAACACTGTGAGGAATCTTGGAGTCATTTTTGACCAAGAACTCTCCTTCAAGGCTTATATAAGCCAAGCAACTAAAACGGCGTACTTCCACTTACGGAACATCGCTAAAATTAGGAATTTCCTTCCTAAAAGTGACGCGGAAAAAATGTACGCTTTTGTCACCTCAAGACTTGATTACTGTAACGCTTTATTGGCAGCATGCCCTAAAGCCTCTTTGAAGAGCTTCCAGCTCGTTCAGAATACAGCAGCTCGGATCTTAACAGGTACCAAAAGGAGGGAGCACATACAGTGCCTTGCGAAAGTATGATGTGCAAAACTGATAGAGACATACCCCAAGCGACTTGCAGCTGTAATTGCAGTAAAAGGTGGCGCTATAAAGAATTAGCGCAAGGGGGCCGAATAATATTGCGCGCCCCACTTTTCAGTTTTTTATTTGTTAGAAAAGTTTAAATTATCCAATAAATTTTGTTCCACTTCACGATTGTGTCCCACTTGTTGTTGATTCTTGACAAAAAATTAAATTTTTATATCTTTATGTTTGAAGCCTGAAATGTGGCGAAATGTTGAAAGGTTCAAGGGGGCCGAATACTTTCGCAAGGCACTGTACTATACTAGCTCATTTTCACTGCACTTTGGGGACTCTCACTCATGTATTCCACTGTGGTTTTACTGCGAAAGGCAAAGAATCTCTGACATTGTTTTTAGTCTCATCCAGATGATAACTTCTGCCTCAAATCTGTCCAATCACACTCCTCCTCCAGTCCATCCATCCATATGATCCTTTTTAATCCTCAGATATTGTGTACACTGTGGACAGAGCTGTTTTCTGTCATTCAAAACCAAAATATTGTCTGTTTTCAGTCTAGTCTCCTGCAGAGTGTAATTCCCATTTTCTGCCACTAGATGGAAGTGTTAGTGCATTTGTTTCATAGTGTGTTGCTTTAGGGGGGGGAGCTTAACAGCCAGTGCTATAACACCCAGGGAGCTATAACAGTCAGGGGAGCTATAACAACCAAGGGGAGCTATAACAGTCAGGGGAGCTATAACAGCCACGGGAGCTATAACAGTCAGGGGAGCTACAGTGCCTTGCGAAGTATTCGCCCCCTTGAACCTTTCAACATTTCGCCACATTTCAGGCTTCAAACATAAAGTTATAAAATTTACATTTTTTGTAGTGCTGTCCAACGATTAAAATATTTAATCGCGATTAATCGCATGAATTTCATAGTTAACTCGCGATTCATCGCAAATTAGTCACACATTTGCGTGCTGTGTGCAATTGCTTTTTTTATTGAAAACAATGTGTAGTGTTATATTACACACTAAGATTTGATGCAAAATCATCAATAAATGGATGACAAAATAAATAATTGGTAACAAAAAGCCCCTTCAATGTGTGTGTGTGTGTGTGTGTGGAGTGTGTGTGTTTATGGGTGTGGGTGTGTGTGTGTGTGGGTGTGTGTGTGTATGTGTGGGTAAAGACCATAGACTGTATAGAAACATCATGGTGTCATTATGATGATGATAAACAATCTGTAAATATTTTGTAAATTTGTTCATGTAAATACTCCATACTGTTTCTCTGTTTACTTTCGGTATATCTATGACTGTATACTGTTTACTTATATTGCCTTTTTATTAACCCCTCCCCCCCATCTCCCACTTCATGCTTTTATGCCAAACATATCGTTTTGCATTGTGGCCAAAAAGTTCGATTTTGGTTCCATCTGACCAGAGCACCTTCTTCCACATGTTTGGTGTGTCTCCCAGGTGGCTTGTGGCAAACTTTAAACCAGACTTTTTATGGATATCTTTGAGAAATGGCTTTCTTCCATAAAGGCCAGATTTGTGCAGTGCACGACTGATTGTTGTCCTATGGACAGACTCTCCCACCTCAGCTGTAGTTATCTGTGTGTGGAGGAGGAGGAGAAGGTCAGAGTGTGTGGAGGAGAAGGTCAGTGTGTGGAAGAGGAGGAGAAGCTCAGAGTGTGTAGAGGAGGAGGTCAGAGTGTGGAGGAGGAAGAGGAGGTCAGAGTGTGTGGAGGAGGAAGAGCTCAGAGTGTGGAGGAGGAGGAGGGGTCAGAGTGTGTGGAGGAGGAGGAGGTCAGAGTGTGTGGAGGAGGAGGTCAGAGTGTGGAGGAGGAAGAGGAGGTCAGAGTGTGTGGAGGAGGAGGTCAGAGTGTGGAGGAGGAAGAGGAGGTCAGAGTGTGTGGAGGACGAGGTCAGAGTGTGGAGGAGGAAGAGGAGGTCAGAGTGTGTGGAGGAGGAAGAGCTCAGAGTGTGGAGGAGGAGGAAGGGGTCAGAGTGTGTGGAGGAGGAGGAGGTCAGAGTGTGTGGAGGAGGAGGAGGTCAGAGTGTGGAGGAGGAGGAGGAGCTCACAGTGTGGAGGAGGAGGAGCTCACAGTGTGGAGGAGGAGGTCAGAGTGTGGAGGAGGTCAGAGTGTGTGGACGAAGAAGAGCTCAGAGTGTGGAGGAGGAGGTCAGAGTGTGTGGAGGAGGAGGAGCTCAGAGTGTAGAGGAGGAGGTCAGAGTGTGTGGAGGAGGAGCTCGGAGAGGAGGAGAAGCTCAGAGTGTGTAGAGGAGGAGCTCAGAGTGTGGAGGAGGAGGTCAGAGGGTGTGGAGGAGAAGGTCAGAGTGTGGAGGAGGAGGAGGAGGAGGAGGTCAGAGTGTGTGGAGGAGGAGGAGGAGGTCAGAGTTTGTGGAGGAGAAGGAGGAGGACAGAGTGTGTGGACGAGGAGGAGGAGGTCAGAGTGTGGAGGAGGAGCTCAGAGTGTGGAGGAGGAGGAGGAGGAGGTCAGAGTGTGTGGAGGAGAAGGTCAGAGTGTGTGGAGGAGGAGGAGGTCCGACTGTGTGGAGGAGGAGGAGGAGGTCAGAGTGTGTGGAGGAGGAAGTCAGAGTGTGGAGGAGGAAGAGGAGGTCAGAGTGTGTGGAGGAGGTCAGAGTGTGGAGGAGGAGGAGGTCAGAGTGTGTGGAGGAGGAGGTCAGAGTGTGGAGGAGGAGGAGGTCAGAGTGTGTGGAGGAGGAGGTCAGAGTGTGTGGAGGAGGAGGAGAAGGTCAGAGTGTGGAGGAGGTCAGTGTGTGGAGGAGGAGGAGAAGCTCAGAGTGTGTAGAGGAGGAGCTCAGAGTGTGGAGGAGGAGGTCAGAGTTTGTGGAGGAGAAGGAGGAGGACAGAGTGTGTTGACGAGGAGGAGAAGGTCAGAGTGTGTGGAGGAGGAGCTCAGAGTGTGTGGAGGAGGAGCTCAGAGTGTGTGGAGGAGGAGCTCAGAGTGTGTGGAGGAGGAAGAGGAGGTCAGAGTGTGGAGGAGGAGGTCAGAGTGTGTGGAGAAGGAGGTCAGACTGTGTGGAGGAGGAGGAGGAGGTCAGAGTGTGGAGGAGGAGGTCAGAGTGTGTGGAGGAGGAAGAGGAGGTCAGAGTGTGGAGGAGGAGGTCAGAGTGTGTGGAGGAGGAGGTCAGACTGTGTGGAGGAGGAAGAGGAGGTCAGAGTGTGGAGGAGGAGGTCAGAGTGTGTGGAGGAGGAGGTCAGACTGTGTGGAGGAGGAAGAGGAGGTCAGAGTGTGGAGGAGGAGGTCAGAGTGTGTGGAGGAGGAGGTCAGACTGTGTGGAGGAGGAGGTCAGACTGTGTGGAGGAGGAAGAGGAGGTCAGAGTGTGGAGGAGGAGGTCAGAGTGTGTGGAGGAGGAGGTCAGAGTGTGTGGAGGAGGAGGTCAGAGTGTGTGGAGGAGGAAGAGGAGGTCAGAGTGTGGAGGAGGAGGTCAGAGTGTGGAGGAGGAGGTCAGTGTGTGTGTTTGTGTAGAGTATGTGTGTGTTGTGTAGAGTATGTGTGTGTGTTTGTGTAGAGTGAGTGTGTGTTTGTGTAGAGTATGTATGTGTGTGTGTGTGTGTAGAGTGAGTGTGTGTGTTTGTGTAGAGTATGTGTGTGTTGTGTGTAGTGTGTGTGTGTGTGAGTGTGTGTGTGTAGAGTATGTATGTGTGTTTGTATGTGTGTGTTTGTGTAGAGTATGTATGTGTGTGTGTGTAGAGTGAGTGTGTGTGTTTGTGTAGAGTATGTGTGTGTGTGTAGAGTAGTATGTGTGTGTTTGTGTGTAGTGTAGAGTGTATGTGTGTGTGTGTGTAGAGTATGTGTGTGTGTGTGTAGAGTGAGTGTGTGTGTGTAGTATGTGTGTGTTTGTGTAGAGTGAGTGTGTGTTTGTGTAGAGTATGTGTGTGTGTTTGTGTAGACACTATTAAACCTGTTGATACGTTTGGACTTGGTGAGTTTGAAAACAAAGTCCAGCTTAAACCTGACTCTGACATTTCAGAAACTCAAAGTGAAAGTAAAGGTTTGACAGTCGGTCCTCTCTTTTGAATGTCTTTTGTAAAAGTCGCTTCATGGAACTTCTGTGGGAATGAATCCACATGTTTTCACTTCAGTGTTTGTCCAGAAGAGAACAATGTTTTCAAGAGTCCAGTGGGTGAGAACAGAAAGTCACTGAGGGGCTTGTGGGGTCAGAGCGTTTATCCAGGAAAGATTAGTAAAGCTGGTAGACCCTGAGTGTGTTCTCTATTAGTGAACAGAGACTTTACATCCATAGTAACAAGCAGAGGCTCACACACTCTTCCATTTGTAAAAGAACGTGTGTAGAATCTTGTAGAAATGATGCTAAAGAGCTCGTGAAGGGCTTCATGAAGAAATCCATGTATTTTCTGCAGGTTAAGCCAGATTCTTATGCCTCTACCTGGAATCAACACAAAAGATCAAATGTTTATTAAAAACAGCCTTTTAGACTATGAACACAGATACACTGTAATCAATGAGTGACATTACAACCGTAGCCCACAAGGGGGCGCTCTAACTCTATAAATGGTGTTACGTGGAACTTTATAATGAAAAGGCAAACTATATGTGTAGCAGAAACGGGCTGTTCTAAACTATATGTAGTGGTGCGCACTCCCGCTGGTTAGCCAATCAGAGTTTGGTCCGGCTCTTTATAGAGGCGCGTCCCACCTCGGTCCGACCTCTTCCGCCTCTGACGTCGAGTGACTTGGCCCGGGACAGAGCAGGTGTTTTGATCAGCGTCTCGCTACTAGTGATGGCAATATGAAGCCCCATGAAGCCTTGAGGGATCGCAGCCTATTACTCGGCCCATGAGTCGAAGGCTCAAGGTGAATCATGCTCCACTACGCCATCATGTGGACAAAGAAATACATAACACTCTTTCCTGCCAGCAACGCCAAATGTGACATAACGAGGGTTAAAAGTACAGGTTAGAAATTTTGCTATTGTCAACAACGCCACCTAGGATAGGCCTAGGACCCTGCACAAGGCAGACACAGGTTCGCTTCCCTTTTTAAAGTGATGGGGGCAGAGACAAAACCAAAACTCGACTACAAAAGTACAAAATTTATTTTCATTAAAACATTTTTAAGTTAGGAACATTTGATTAATACTGGTAATTGCCAAAAGCCAAACACAAAAAAACACATGCACACACACACACACACACGCAAAGAACAAAGAAAAAAAAGAGATTAAACAATCCTAAACTCAATTACAGTTAAAATGTACAAATTTACAGTTTGGGTGTCCAGGTGCTCTGTGGGCCTAATATTGATGCTCAGTGTCCACAACTGGAGCGACTCTGGCCTGTGGGGTCAATCCAGAGCAGTGGAGGCAGGAGGAGAAGTGCTTACAATGAATGGTGAGATCTAATGTTAAAATGTATATTTACAATCTATGGTCTAACGTGTTGTGTTTGAAATGATGCTTCATGAACTATGAACTATTTGAGTCTTTCAGTCAATTGTGTTGATACAACAAACACATCCAAAGTAATACAGTTCTACAGAAAGTGATTAATGGAGGAAAAACTACCAAGAGGTGGATTAATTAAACACAACAAACCATTTATTCCCAATAAATAAATACATTTACTTTGCAACACAATATTTATTATGGGTAGACCAGGATTCGAACGCTATATCTTCTGCTTCGGAGTCCGTCATAGACCGACTGCGCCACACAGCTGTTGTGAAATTTATTATCCAGCGTATTATTACTAATAACTTGAAGCCTTGATATATGAGGTTTTACTAAAGTGAAAAGTTTTTAATTGTATTTCATATGAAGTAGTTTCTCTATACTTAGTACAGGACTGCTCCACATCACGCACACACACGTACGCACACACACACGTACGCACACAGAGGCAGACGGGGACAGCCAATACAGTCTATGGTACAGCCGCGGATCACAAAGCACCTGTCAAAGCAATGCACTCTCCGAACTATATGAAGCACTATATGAACCGTCACGTGGTGCGGCCGCTACGCGAGGCTTCGAACGTCACCACACACGTGACCAATACACGCCTCGACCCACACTTCACAAGAAACGCCCCCAGATTACTCGGTCCACGCTTCGAAGACTCGGTCCGCTCAGCACATCACTACTCGCTACCAAACTACCACGGTTCAATTGCACAAGGCGAGAGGCCGCGCAATTGAACCACGCGATCGTCGTATGCGCTTTTGGTGAGTACTGCGTAGTGATTAAAATATTAGTTAGATTATCCTAAAATCATGTTTTGTAGCATACCGGCGTCTTAGCGCGCACACCGCTGCTGTGCCTGCTTCCTTCACCGGGCCCTTTGGCGTGGACGTTACTGCCGTGCGTAAAGGCTTGTCCCAGTGTGAGCTGTCACGGGCTGGGGCGGCTCGTGCGCGGAGCGCTTCAATCTGCAACGGTATGTTTAACTCTGTGCGCCTCCTGAACAATACGTACATAGGAGTTTGTTTCTAATACACAATAATGTTTTAGGATTCCTGTTGTCTCCGACCTCCCCTTCCAAGTGGGGTCTTTTGCACTATAGTCTGGCCTTTTAAATCTAAAGGCACCTAGTGAGTGGGAGTAGATAAGTCTGTGGTGGCCGCGGGACTGCAGGACGCGTATCCCATCCAGCGCCTCCAATCTTCCACGCACCTCAAATAAGGACAATCCAACCAGGGCTTCTTTTTATTCTTCTACCCACAAGGTAACCAAATTCTGGCCCTAGTGTGGCTGAACGCAACGACTGCTGTAGTTGGGACACTTTTTTTTAAAAAAGTTAATTGTTTCTTTTTTTTTTTTTTTGGGTTATCTGGCTGTTGATTGTATTGTTCTGGAATGCATGCAGTGTGACTGAGAATGAATGGGGGTGTGTGTGTGTTGTGAATGTAGAGTGTTTTTAATTAGAATAATCAATTAAACTTGTCAGCTGTTTAAATAAACTTATATTTTGTTAGATTTGCCTCTGTCTCTCTCCATATCCAAACGAACCTGTGGTCTAGGTATGCGGGGATAAACTTCCTAATGGTTCCTTAGGCCAGAATCTAAGGTGGCGTTGCTGGTATTATTTATTTGTATGGTTCTCATTGAAAATATAGTGAGATTCTAGCTAAGTGCTTCCGAGCTCACAACAAACTTGGCGTACGCTGGCAGGATTGGATCGAGAGGACAAAGGCAAAAACTTTTTTTCTTTTTGTTTGTTCATTTTATATTTGTTTTTGTTTAGTTTGCTAAATCAGGGCATTTAGAATGTTACTAATACTCTGCTTTAAATGGTAGCTAATTGGGGGTTGAACAAAAGTGAATATTAGTGTTAAGCATTTGTTTACTGTGTGAGGATATACATTATTTCTGTGCATGTTTTGCTGTGTTTTTGTATATTTGCATGATTATATTTTTCTTTGTGTGAACCATTGTTTGCATATATTTTTAATTACTGAGTTCAACACCTGTAGGTTACTGCTATTGTAGCTGTGAGATTAGCTCATTCGTGTTTACACCCTGATCAACATTTTTGTATAGTGGACACTACAGCAGTTTGTTTTGCCCTTCTTCTCAATTATGGAGGAAGCTTTGCAGGAGTTACGGGAGCAGCTGGCTCAGTTGAGGGCTGAAAATGAACAGTTACGTAGTGAGCGTACACAATCGGTGCCCGTTACAGGCTCTGAGACGGCTTCAACCTCAAGCCTGCCCACTACTGCTGTTCCTGCATTGAATCCCACCATTGGGGATCGTCTAATTTTCGTGCCACGGGATAGAAAATGCCCCATGTTTAGAGGTAGGTCTGGTACTAGCTTTAGTGAGTGGCTAGAGGAAGCTCAGGCATCTATGCGCGCTAGGCACTTATCTGCCGCAGACAAGGCATTTTTCTTGTATGACCACTTGGAAGGGGAGGCCAAGGATGAAATCAGGTATCGACCGAGTGCAGAGCGCTCCGATCCAAATAAAATCATCTCAATTTTGCAGGACCTCTATGGTTGCGTTGAATCCTATGTTTCGCTACAGGAGGCGTTTTTCTCGCGCCGCCAGCAAGAGGGTGAAAGCTTGCTCGAGTATTCCCTCGCGCTTATGGCTTTAATGGAGGGGGTAAAGCAGCGCGCTCCTAATAATATGAATAATGCAGAAACATTACTTCGCGACCAATTCGTTGAGCAGGTCTTAGACTGCGCGCTCCGCCGTGAGTTAAAACAATATGTTCGTAACACACCCACAGCAACTTTACTCGATGTCAGAGGTGAGGCACTAAGGTGGGAGCGTGAGGGGATGCCAGCGGGAGTGCGTGGTCGCAGCAATTCTGTCCCCTCCACTTTTGGTATACAGTACGCCGTTCAGGGTGGGTCTCAGCGTACTAACACTGCCCAGGCTTCTGAAGTAAGTGACCTGAAGCAAATGTTGCACCGACAACAGGAGCAACTTGATAATCTTACCCAGAGCGTGGCTCGTTTACAGGGATCTCACAATCCCCACCAGCGTACCCGCTCTCCGCGCTC